AACAGAAAGCCTGCCCTAAATTGTCAGTGATAACTAATGGGCTTATTCCTAATTCACCCATCCTCCTATCCCTAATTCTAATTATCCCTATAAATTGATAGCTCCAACGGAAATATGTATTAGAACTTTTAAAATATGATTTTTTTATCTTCATTATTCTAGAACTTTGAGAACTTGCACTTTTAATTTCAAAATTGTAGTTGTTTGACTTATTTCTCATTTTAATTAATGACTTATTGACTATATTTATATTCGATGTGCACTAGTGTATATGAGATAAAATATGACTTATTTCTAAGTATCTTGAAAATGTAAAATGCTTCAATGCCATGAATTAGTAGAAGTCAGAGTATAATATATGTCCAGTTTTTTTTAAAAAAAATGTATTTTTTAATATTTATAAATACACCCCTGTAACTTTTAATATTTATAAATACACCCCTATAACTTTTAATATGTATAATTATGCCTCGTATCCTACTTTTTTTTATTTTGTCGTATCCCCATACCCGTTTCTGCGTTTCCGCATATCCGCGTACTCGTATCGGTGCTACATAGCTTGATACAACTCTTATATGGGCAAGACCATATAAGATGTAACTGGAATTGTGAAGTGTACAAAATGCGGGAATGCGCAACTACACACTAGCACATGTTTTAATTGTTGTGTATATTCATAGAACAGGAAAACAAACTATTTTGTGGGACCTTATGACTGTATAAATAGATACGAAAATCACAAATTATACTCCCTCCGTCCCTGAATGTTGTTCCAATTGCGGATTACGAAGGTTGACCGGATCCCTGTGAAAACTCGGATTATTTTTAGTAAATAAAATTTACATATTCAGAAACTACATTAAACCCGCTACAAAGCCTGCACAAAAAAAAACAATTTTCATAAAGTTTTGATACAAAAAGTAAGAGTTTAAGAGTGATTTAAGTTGACTCTCGAAAAGCGAAATGGAAATAAATTTAGGGACAAAGGGAGTACCATAAAATTGTTAGACCATGCGTCCATGCGTATGTTGTATGGGTCTCAAATACAGTACCATTTCTCTCTTTTGTCCGAACCAATGCCGATCCTACGTAAATTCGGCTCTGAGTCGAGTTTCATAAAACCCTCTACATAGTATTTATTTTGTAATAAAACATATTTGGAAATAGAGGATTAATATCACAAAAACTCAATACTTAAATAAAATTCTTACATTATAAAATAAACAAAAATTTTCAAAATTTTGATTAGTTTGGAATTGAAAATTACACAATCTTTTATCATGGTGATTTTAAATAAAAAAATATATCTCAATTCTCAAATATAAAAAATTCACTCGCAAGGCATAACCCTACTACACTACTTCGTAAAACAAGTAAGATTAATCAACTTGCTTTTACTTGCTTTTAATTTTTAAATAGCATTTGTTTATGCAGATACTTCAAATCCCAACCAATAATATAAGGACTAGTCAATAGTTATAGCAAATAGAATTTAATAAGTTAGTTCATTCGTGTCTTTCGTGAGACAATTGAGATTGAGTTTTGTGGAATTTCGAATGAAAGAGGACCGGTCATTCACAAATCAATAATTCATCAAATTAGCAAATCATTCTAAAAGCTAAGGGCCTGTTTACTAACAGAAATATTTTCCAGTTTTCTAGAAAACTGGAAAACAGAACACAGGAAACGTGTTTACCAAAGAAATTCCTGGAAAACTAGAGAAAGGAAAAAAGAAAAACGCGTTTACCAAATTGTTTTCCAAAACGGAAAAAATGAAACATGTCTCTCTTTTCCTTAATGATTTGGAGAAGTGACTTTTACTAGTTTTCCAAATTTGGAAAACGCAGATGCTACAAAGCCTTTGCAATGAATTTGCATATTTACACCTAGTGGTGGGTCCGGTCCCGCTCCGATGTCGATTCCATTCTGGTACTTCCATCCTCGCACCTTACCCCTTACCCCTACCCACCCTACCCCCACCCCGCGTACCCATTTTTCCCTATAATGACCTTACCACACCCCCCCCCCACCACATGCCCCGACCTCGGCCCCACCCCGATCCACCCTACCCTACCGCCACCCCTACCACCTCGACCCCACCTCGATCCACCCTACCCTACCGCCACCCCCCTACCACCTCAACCCCACCCCGACCCACCCTACCCCACCCCTCGTATATTACCACTTACCCCTACCTTACCCCTTACCACATGCCTCCTACCTCGGCCCCACCCCTACCTCCACCCTACCCTACCTCGGCCCCACCCGGATCCCGGGCCCACCCTACCGCCATTCTATCCCAACTCCCTACCCTACCCCAACCCCAAACCCTACCCACTACCCCCACCCTACCGCCATCCTATCCCAACTCCCTACCCTACCCCTACCTTACCCCAACCCCAAACCCCTCCCACTACCCCCACCCTTATCGCCATCCTACCCCCACCCTACCCCTTCCCTACCCCGACCCCACCCTGGTCCCGACCCCACCCTACCGCCATCCTATCCCAACTCCCTACCCCACCCCTACCTTACCCCAACCCCAAACCCCTCCCACTACCCCCCACCCTTACTACCATCCTACCCCCACCCTACCCCTTCCCTACCCCGGCCCCACCCTGGTCCCGACCCCACCCTACCGCCATCCTATCCCAACTCCCTACCCTACCCCTACCTTACCCCAACCCTACCCACTACCCCACCCTTAACCCTAACCCACCCACTACCCCCACCCAACCCCCCTACCCCTACACCTTACCACCCTACCCCGACCATACCCCTTACCCCACCCATAACTTCCCTACCCGACCCCTACGAGTAGGTATGGGTGGGTATGAAGGGTTGTGGTGGAGTATGAGTAGAGTGTAAGATCGTGGTAAGGGTAGAGGTAGGGGTCAAGGGTGTGGAATTGGAGAACTGTGTGAAAAAATTGATGAACATGTTTTCAGATTTGAAAATGGAAAACTAAAAAATAGAAACAGAAAATTGGAGATAGAAAAACTGAAAAATAAAAACAGAAAATTGGAGAACGAAAAACAGAAGTAGAAAATAGGAAAATATCGCTGTTAGTAAACAGGCCCTAAATTTTTGGATATAATAACATATCGCCAAATTTGAGAGTTTGGGTTTGTACTTCACTACTTGATAACTCTATTGTTCCGCACGTTTTGTTACTTCTTTAACAGCGATTTAAGCTAAACAACTAGTGCCGTAGCTCCTATTTTTTTTAATACATATATAATATAAAGATATTTAAATTTTGGACCTCTAATTTTTAAATTTTTTTGGGGCCCTAAGGCACAAGCCTCACTGGCGTAGGGGAAGGACCGGCCCTGGTCAGAACCTACAAAATTTTCTTTCTTTTTCGTTCTAACACTTCAGGTTTGTGAGTTTTCAAAAAAAAAAACTTCAGGTTTGTGAGTTCTTTCTCTTTATTTTTCTCCTCTTCATCAAAATACTAAAAATTTAATTGTGACTTTACTAATCTTTATCTTCAACTAATTAAATTACAATTGAATTTACATTTTGTTCTTTATCAATTTACAAAATTTTACTAATCCACATACATATAGCTTAAATAAATATGAGAAGACAAATCAATAACCTACATTATGCCTTTTTAAGCACATAGAAATTTTGGAGTTCCCACATACTTATAGTTCACATACGTAACCCTCTGTTTAGGCTAAATAAGTTAATTAGACTATTTTTTTAATTTATACAAATATATGACGTAAATTTAGGTGCACCTATTTAAAGTTGTATATACATCCAAATATTCCATAAGTATATGGTATTTCATAATCATACATTATTTTTCCAATTTTTTTTTATCTTCAACTGAAATTACAAACAAATTTATTTTTTCTGTAATTTATTTTATATTTATACACTTTTTATGTAATACATTTTTGCATTTTCATACACTTTTCCCTATAGTTTCTTTTTAAACGATAATATATTTTCATTGTTTTTAAGACATTAAATCAGTTTATTTAAATTTTCATTTGATAAAATATGAGATTAAATTTTCTTATGCGTGAAATACATTTTCATATGTGTGAGTTATGTTTATAAAGAAGTTATGGAGTTACATTTAATAATATATGGAATTACATCTTTTTATACGCGATTTACATCTTCTTATGCGCAAGTTACACCTTCTTGTGTGCGAGTTATGTCTTTTAAGCGCGTGTTGCATCTTTTTATGTGCGAGTTACATCTTCCTATGTGGTGAGTTACGATCTTTTTATGCACGAGTTACATATTATGTGCGAGTGTTAGACCTTCTTATGTGCAAGTTACATTTTTTTTTATGTACGAGTTACATTTTTTATGCACGGATTATATTTGAATTTGTCCCAACAAGTTACATTTTGCAAACACTTAAATACATTTTTCATTAATGTGAGTTATGTTTGTCATACCACAAGCTACATCACGAAAATAAATCCTTGCCATTAAAACAAAAAATGATTTTTGTGACAAATAAATGATTTTTTTTTTTTGCAAAAACATCAATTTCAGGCAAGTTGTTTGATTTACTGGCCCTAATGTTTTAGTGCCGGCCTAAATCTTAGCATTTTGGTGTGGGTATAGCACTAAAGTTGATTTTGATTGTACTTATTTTTCTTGAACTTGAACTAGAACATACGGAGTATTTAGTTTTTCAGACGATATTTCCTCCCAACTTGTAAAAACAACTTCTATAAATAAATATTGTTACATTTTTACCTAAACACTGGAATATACATTATACATATACTCTCCTTTTCAGTTTTTATTTTGGGAGTAAAAACCGTTTTTAAGTAGTTGATTTAACGCCCTGATTTGGTTAGACCGTTAGAACTTAGAATGGGGCCTCAAAGATTTACCGTTTTGGTAAAGTAAATTCATTGCGTAAAATTTGTTTGATGTTCGTCATTTTAAAGGATCCATTTTCGAAGCAACTAAATTACCATAAATGCCCTCCTTTTTCCTGACAATTGAAATGCCTTTCCTCTTTCATCCGCTACAGAAGTGCATCGGACGGCGCTCCAATATCGGCATTTCACGTACCCCATCTGGTTGCCGTTTTGGGCAAACCTGACTTCACCTAAACGTCACCTGACGCATTACGCTTGCCGGAAATGGTGTCGGAGGAAAAGCTCGTTAGGCGGCTCAGGGAATTCCTCAGTACGTCAGACCTTAACACGACGACAAATGCTTCCGTTCGCCGGCAACTCGAGAAAGACTTCGGCATCGATTTGTCCGACAGAAAGTCCTTTATCCGTGAACAAATCGATATCTACCTAGAACAAGCTCCGACCCAAAATGCGGAAAAACCAGAGGCAGAGCAGCCCGCTGAGAAGATAAAATCGGAGTGTGACGGCTGTGAAGAGAAAGAAGGCGAGAAAGAATCGTCCACTGCCGCAGCAAATGAGGCAGACGAAGAAGAGGAATCAGAAGAAGTGGAGGAGGGCGAGGGAGATGAGGAGGTGAAAAACTCCAGTAAAAAGAAGAGGTCTATATACCAATCCACTTTGTTTAAACACACATCTGCATGCTATTGATTATTCAAATTGATTTACGCTTTAATGTTATTTGCATATATTTATTAGGTTTTGGGTTATATTAATTGCTCCTTTTCATAGCAAAAACACCCACTGGTTTACCATTGTCCTAGCAGTGGCTATTAGAGTGTTTATATGACTCAGTAATGAAAGGACACATCTTTGTAAACTAATTGAGTACAATGATGCTTTCTTAACATATTAAGTCCAGAAAGCAGAGTAAGGAAGTCAGTAAGAGAGGGAATGGATTTACCAAACCATGCAACCTTTCTTCCCAACTTCAAGAGTTCATTGGGGAATCACAAATGGCAAGAACTCAGGTGTTTCAAGTTTCAGGGTATCCCATTACTGGATTTCATTGAAGCAGTAGTTCGTGTTTATAACACTAGATCTTTGTAACCATGTTTTCAGGTGGTAAAGCATATGTGGAACCACATTCGAGAAAATAATTTGCAAAACCCTTCTAATAAGAGGATAATAAATTGTGACGATAGATTGCGTGAACTTTTTAAGGTGGATTCCATAGACATGTTTCAAATGAACAAGGCACTGTCAAAGCATATTTGGCCACTGGACTCTGATGGGGGTATTACATTTTTCAATTGCATTCTACATTTGAGCATTTTCTTTCTGCCTTTTAGCGAATTTGTTGTGTCAATCTATAATGTGGTTTCTTGGTGTACTATTTTAAAGTTCGCAACTTGAGCTATTTTTAAGATGAAAATATCTTGAATTCTTGTAGTTATGCATGATGAGAAAAGAAATTAAAGAATGACAAATGTACTTACATATGCTCATTAAAAGTTCTATGCTTTTTGAAAAAAAAAATGCTTACATAGGACACAAGAATATCATATTCCTATACAGGACTTATTATGAGGAAATTACTCCTGTTTTTTAGAACAAAACAACAAGAATGTGAACGACTCCGTATGTTGTACTATTATCTAGTACAGTTTTTAACTATTTTTTTCATTTGGGGGGACAGCAGTATACGTTTCCATGTGTATAAATTTTAGGAAATATTTTGAAATGTGTTTGAATTATCCTTTTGGGGTCAAAGAGTTTTTTGGTTATGATTTTTCTCTAATATACTTTTGTATACATTAAAGTGGGGAAAAATGTGATCATTTACGGATTTCTTTGTAAGTTACAGCTTCAGTGTCTGCTAGCGCAACACCAAAGAAAAAGAAACCTAAGCCAGAGAGTGACGAAGGTGAATTTATGACATTAATTTGTTTATAATCACTGATCTGTTGACGTCATTGCTTTAACCAATACAATCATTTTCTCTCTGGAGCTATGTGTTAATACTCTCTCCCCTTGATCATTGACCGATTTCTTTGAAAGTTACAGCTTCATTGTCTGCTAGCTCAGCACCAAAGAAAAAGAAACCTAAGCTGGAGAGTGATGAAGGTGAATTTACAACATTGTTTTGTTTATATTCACTGATCTGTTGACGTCATTGCTTTAAACTATAACAATCATTTTCTCTCTGGAGTTATGTGTTAATGCTCTTGCCCCTTGATTCTCTTTAGTGTCACACGTAATATTCATATCACTGAGCAAGGTCAGACTTTATTTTTGTAGTAGTAGATGTCAGAGAAAAATGGAAGATGTACTTGTATGAGTTCATTGAAAGACTTAAGCTTTGTAGTGCACTAGCTTTTGACAATTTACTTCAACAGGAGTAAAACAATTATCTCTATATTCCTAAACAGTTTTTTTGTGAGGAAATTAGTCCTATTTTGATAACAAATAATACCAGATCACTAGTTCTACCTAAGAATATCACCTAAGTTGTTGCCTTATTCTTATTTAGCGCAATTTCCCACTATTTTTTAATGTGTGCTTTACAGTCTACATATTTTGGGGAATAATTAGAACTGTATTGAATTACTGTTTTGTGGTCAATGACATATTTGGTTATGCAATTGCTGTAATATGCTTCCTCTTCATTAAAGTGGGGAGCATTTGATCATTGGCTTATTTGAAAATTGCAGCTTCCGTGTCAGCTAGTTCAAGACCAAAACAAAAGAAATGTAAGCCAAAGAGTGATGAAGGTGAATTTTGCAACATTTTTCATTGATGAATGATATGTTGACTTCAATGCTCCAACCAGTAATAATAATTTTCCACCCAAAGTTTGGTGTTAATGCTCTTGCCCCTTGATGAAAATAGTATTTTCTTTTACCATAAGGTTCAAAGCTCAGCAAGTATTTGTCAAAGCTGTTAATCAATGCAATATCTCACTATAGATTCTGATGAGCCAAAGGGTGGGGAAAAGAGGAAGAGTGGGATTCTTGCTCCACTTCGCCTCTCAGATGCTCTGACGGAGTTCCTTGGCACTGGTGAAAGTGAATTGTCAAGGCCTAGTGTTGTCAAGAGAATATGGGATTATATCAAGCAAAACAATTTGCAGGTAGTATATATTTGTCCATTATAAAACTATTTTAAAACAATCTGGAGCTTTCTTTTGACTATCTGAATTTAACTGTGGTTTCTCTATGCCCTTCGTTTTTTTTATTGAAGGATCCATCTGATAAGAGAAAAATAGTATGTGATGATAAACTGAAGGAGCTCTTCAAAGTCGACACATTCATCGGATTTTCAGTCTCCAAACTTCTGAAAGATCACTTTACGAAGGTGTAGCAGGGAGCTTTGTTCATCTCTCATCAATGGAACCTGGTTTTTTACGGGAGTTTGAACCACAGTACTAAGTTACTAACCATTTTCTCTTGCTTAGTATGTTGTGTAACTTGATAGTACTATGAGAGCTCTGGTTGGGTTCTGTTTTTCAGGGGGTGGGGGTTCGAAATGAACTTTCAGCTCAAGTAATCCCCCATTTTGTGCAGTCCCTCCTAAAAACAGTGCTTAGGGTTGAATAGTTATTTTTGTTTTGGCAATGTATGCTCAAATAGTTCCTTTAAACATTCCCAATGGTTAGTGTATGCATAAAATTGCTACATATAACTGTCTCTCTCTTATGCGGTTACATGTCTATAAATATGTGAGCAGACACTGATGGAAGTACACAAAATCACTATTGTGCAAATGAATAGATTCAACATCTACTAAAAAAACTAGTCTCTATCTATACAAAAGGCTCATGAATTCTATTCTCTGGGCACTGCCTAATAAGATGGACTTTTAAAGTGCAAAACCTTTTTGCTATATACACCATGTGCAGTGTACCAGATACCCTGCTCAGTCAATAATCACACCCACCCACTAACATTATACAACATATCATCTCTTTCTATCTTTAATTGTAGAAAAAGGGACATGTTCAGCGTGGCTAGTCATCATCATCTTCGTGTTTTGAAGGTCTATGCTGCTGCATGACCAGAACTGATCCACAAAAATCAAATTCTGCAGACGCCAAAAAGTCTCCTACTTTTCCAAGCTCTGGACATTCTTCCCAATCACTGATTCCTGTTGTCAGTGGTGAGTGCCCTCTCCCTTCCCTCCCTACTATGAATAAAGAATACATATCTGCCATATCCCTCAATGCACACGCTGTTTCTGAGCCGTTCTCTACTACCTTTTCTACATATCCCACTTGACCCGAAGTCACGTACCTAAATATCACATTAGATCAACAAATCATACGTCATTTTAATTACAATATATAGTACTCCACAATATTGAAGTGAACCAGTAATGCTTTTGGTGTCCACATAAGAAAATTTACTCATCCACATATCACCCACCCTATAAGAGGTATACCAACATTATGCCATGGTTTTAAGTTTTTTTTTTCTTTTACAATCACTCCACCCTATTCATAGTATTTGTTCACTAATACCCTCAACCTTGATTAGGACACACTAAGACCTTTGTCCTTCGCTTTCTAAGGCAACATAGATTCTCGATTAAACCATAAGGTGTTTGGCGTACTCAGGCTTTAGCTACGATTCGATGGTAGGTCGGTTAGACATTAATATTTTTTTGAAGAAGGTTAGACATTAAAATTAAAAATTTAAAAAAGGAGTTTCCCTTTGCATACCTATGGTAGAATTCAGACAATACTTCATTATCTGCCTCTCTTTCTGTTTCACGATCAGAAATTGCCATTAAAATGTTTTCCTCTTTATGAGCAATATCAACACCCACGCTTTGTCCCTGTCCAGATGCTGAAAGGAACCTTATAACAGTGAGGTTGATGTGATTATGCATTCCCAGGCGTTTGCTGAACCCTAAAGCCTCCCGATCATCGGGCCCACCGAAAAATAGGGCCGCGATGTGTTGCAAAGAATCGGAGCCTGTGAGGTTCAACGAGCCTGCCGTGAGACCGCGGTCCACCAGAATGGCAACGGCACATGGTGCATGACGAAGCACTTTCTGGTTCGTCGTCCTTATGCCTTCTTTACTAGTCTCCAGCTTCCCATCTATTCTCTGGTGCTTGTGGAATGGAAGGAGAACAATGGAAGCTCTTATATCCTCAGCATAGTCACACACATCTTTATACATACTTGCAAAAGGCGCCACCGCTTTGATCTGATGAACCATCAACCCTGTCTCGGCCGTGAATAGATCCACAGCGTCGTTTATCTCCACAACATCGTTCCCACCATAATCGTCATCATCACTGACCTCATCTTCTTCTTTTTGGTTGTACATCAAGTTGGTATTGCTTTTCCCTGGGAGCTCAACCAGGTGCATTAAGTAAGGGGTGAGGGGAATGTTTTCAGGACCTCTTGATGCTGCTATGAGGCCTACCATGGTCGCCACAGGCCGAGGACTGTGTACACATGCGAGGGTCCGAAGCTCACATTCTGGGGTTTGAGTTTCGAAGTATATTTGTCTGTAGCCTATGATGTCCTGTTCCCTTCTCACCATCAAAGCTATGATGGGCCCCCATATCAATGAATTTAACACTACCGCTGATATCATCAAGCTGAAGAATGTGTCACTCAATATAATCTGCATGTACCATCAATTCACCTTTACTCATCCTTATAATAAGTTTAATGTCTCAAAAACAAGGGTGTAATATTTTAAAAACAAAATGCTACTGTTTCCCCCATTAATGTTAAAAATGGTAAATCTAGCCATTCAATCATACATAATAACAAAACACAGGTATGTCCACTTTTGATCTCAATCATTTTTGAACTACATGTCACAGAGGTGTGTCAAATAAACTACGTACTCAATATACTACAGAGTATTTCCCTATCACAAGTGTATATTATGGCCACTGCAAGATAAGTAAATATAAGAAAAAAGAGGCTTCATTCAATGCAAATATTTGGGTTGGGTTGGGTTGGAGGGGGCAGTACACTTACTCTATTCGTTGACCCAATCGTCAAAGCTAGCAAATCAACATGTCCCTTTAGGTTCATTAGGAAAGCCATTAGCACTCCTTCATAGTATGGAATCTTAAGGTGATAGCAAGCAGCCAAAGTGCCAACAATTTTACCTCCAAAACTCAATAGCATTATGAAAAACACGATACAAAAGTTGCGAAGACTGTTAATGAAAGCCACATTTGCCTTAAACCCAAAGTATCCAAAATAAATTGGTAGTATGAAGTTGTGAACCGGGTATGTAAGTTTTGTCAGCAACGTCCGAGCTGCCCTTCCTCCACGAGGAAACATTGATCCGATAAGGAATGAAAATATCAAACTACTAAACCCCATGAGTTCAAGAGACATGGCAACAATGTATAAAATAGCCAAAAGACCAAACAATTCAGCGTTCTTAAGGTACTTCTGGTTCCTATTACGCCGGTTCATCCAGTTTGCCACATACATGTTGACCACGACAACAACGCCCACCACAAAAAGGTAAAGGAGACCAAGGAAAACCCAAGCAGTGTATGAATAGTGCTGTCTCGTCTTCGAAATCACAAACAACAATACCACCCCATATGCGTCATTGAGCAGCGAGGAAGAAATGGCAAGACGCCCGATATCTGAAGTCCCAAATTTTAAATCAACTGCCAAACGAACCACAACGGGGGAGGCAGTGCTGGCTAGGAGTATAGTGATCAATAACCCCATCATGAATCCAGAACCGTGGGATGATGTCTCTTGGTATACAAATGATGTAATGGCAGCAGCAAAGAAAGTGCACATTAAGCATGATCCACATGCTATGATGCTGGCTATGCGTAACTTGCGAATGAAGTAAGGGAAGTCCATCTCTAGACCAATGAGAAACATGATTATGATTCTAAAGAGGACCGCCATGAATTCATAGTAGTCGGCAGCAAAGTTCTGGAGGAAGAAACTGTTGACTGCCGGGATGTGCGACAGACCGGAGGGACCTAATAAAAATCCAGCCTGCATATTTAACCAATAAAAGAAAACACATAACATACATAAGTAGTTTTACAAAGGTAAATATTGTCTTGTTCTCATTAACTAGCGTTTGAGATTAACAAAAGCTATAAAAAGGCTCCAATTCATCTATATGTTAAATAAATGCTAGATTTGGTTAACAGACGTACTTACGAGAATTTGAACAATGGGGGCAGCCTGGCCAAGGGGCTTGAGAAGAATCTGAAGAAAGTGAGAAATGACAAGAATGCATGAATACTGCATGCCCATGGTCAGCACCGGATTGAACAACTCTTTCCCGCATGCGAAATCCTCCGATGAATCCGCCATTTTTAACTAATTATCTCTGATCTCTATCTATCCTTCCTTAACAAAAACGATGGACTCCTTTGGTTTTTGTTTTTGTTTTTTTTTCTCAGCAAGCTAGGCTGAGAGAGAGGGGGGATGGAAGGGGAGAGGAGAAGTAAAGAAAGGAGAAAATGATAGCTTTTCCTCTCCCCTTAATTGGGCACTTGTGTCAAAATTTCTCCCTTTGTTTTCCTGTTTTGCAGTCATTTGGATTAATGTGGAACCGAAAGAGAAGCAGCAAATCTGCATGTGAATCCAAGTTTTGCTCTTTTGCTTGCAATTTTGATGGAAGACCACACTTTTAGAGGATTTTCTTGCCCAATCATTTTTACTTCTCAAATGCTAATTGCATGGTCTACGCTTTTCCAAATTTATCTTTTCACCTATTCTGTATGTGATTAATAACCACCACAAAATCATGGTTTGGTGCCAACATGAAAATAGGAAAATTTCTCTAGATAAAATACTTGGATGTGTTAAGGTGAATAATAAAAAGTCATGATGCTAGTACTACCTCCCTCCCAAATTGATTTGCAAAATTTACATTTCTTGATCAAACAGTTTCATTTTATTCACTTAATTACGATGTTAATTTTTAAGTATATTCTAATTTGGAGTTTGTAACTTTGAAGAGATTTTAATGTAGTTTGTGAATATGTAAATTTTTTGAATTAAAAATTAAATTAATTATCAATAAGGAGGATTTAACTTTGACATTAATTGACAACAAATGTTGATTTTGCAAATCAATTTGGGATGGAGGGAATATAAATCAACGTATGTCTCTTTCTCACATTATCACATACGGAGTATATAAATAGAGGGAAAAAGTCATTTTGTATTTAGGGGAGTGTTCGGTTCAAAAGGTTCGGTTTTCACCTAAAACCAAATACCGAATCAAAGCAAAAAAGTTCGGTTCAATTCGGTTCGGTTTTATGCTAAAAAATTTGGAACCACGATTTATTCGGTTCGGTTTATTTCGGTTCGGTTTTGGTGTTTTCGGTTTTTACCAAAGTATTTTTGTTGATTTGAAAAGTAGTAATTGGAAAACAAAAACAAAACAATAAACTACATCAAACTATTATTAATCGTAATACAATAAAAAACATACATAATTAAAAGAAAGAAGAAACAAATGCACTTACAAACAATGAATTAGAGAGTACGTGTATACCAATTTAAACATTTTCTAAATTAATTAAACACATGAGTTTATTTGTGAATTATATACAGTGTATTCATAAATTAAAATTTTATTAGTAAATAACTTATTCTACTTTCTTTTATACAAAGATATTTATGCTCTAAAGTTTCACATTTTTGCTATGTTGTTTAAAGTATAGTTTATATTAATACATATTTGTTCAATATAAAAACTACTAGTAGTTTATAACAAACATACATAACATATAATATATCAATTAAGTACCTTTGACATATATGCAACAACAAACAAAATGTAAATTACGATTAAGTGTTTCACTTAATTAAACAATAAATATTAAATTTAACCATAATATATATAACAATAATGTATTATAGCAATACATTTAAGTGTGTACAAGTGTTTCACTTAATTAAACCATAAATATTAAATTTTAATATCTTGCAAACCATAATAAATCTAGTATCAAACATTAATTTTCTAGAATTAAGAATTAAGAACTAAATAAAATATTATACTTAATAATTAATAAATAAAGTAACAAGTTTTAAAAAGTTAGGTTTATTCGGTTTGGTTTGGTTTTGAGATGTGAAAACCAAAACCGAAACCAAACAACTATGGTTGGGTTCGGTTTTTTGAGTTCAGTTTCGATTTTCTTACGGTTCGGTTGTTTTGGTTGTGGTTCTGGTTTTTTCGATTCGGTTTTCGGTTTCTCCGACCCACCCCTATTTTGTAATAAAAATTTGAAAGGCACATAAAATGCTTACTAATGATCGAATAACTCTTTTCCCAAAAAATGATGGAATAACTCATCTTCCAAAAAATGACAGAACAACTCACGAATCACGATGCAAATACGCAATAATACTGGATCATTAGTAAGCATTTTATGTGCCTTTCAAATTTTATATGCCTGGATTTGGCCGCCGGGTAGGGTGCCTGGGTAATTATGGCCGTCCGATGTGATATTTGGTGATCCCAATGAGTTGCTCCTTTCTTCTTTGCCGTCCGATTTGAGCCAACACCATCTTCCATCTGTATCATTTTCATCATCATCATTTTCATCTTTACCACTTCATCTTTCATTTTAAAGAATCACCAGAGATGGAGTGTCACCGGAAAATCAATCCGGAAATGATTAACCGTTAAATATTTGCATGTATCGTATTTGAATAAAATTGAAAAAACTTAATTAAAAGTTGTCGGAAAACCAACCGTAGGTAAAAAGTCACCGGAAAATAAATTTGAGAAGTAGTCTGTATCATTCAAAGTGTTGAGCTAGTTTTCTTCCGCAGAAAAAAATATATGGCACAAACAAAAAATGTACCAGTATTGACATTTCTCAAATGTCACATGCAATTAATTTATGTACACAGACATTGGTTTCTGTGCCACAAACACTGTCATCTATGCAAAAAATGCACATAAATCAATGTATATGTACAGAGATTAGTTTGTCTTTCACAGGCAAAAAAATGTTCGGCACAAACAAAAAATATACAAGTGCAAACATTTCTCAAGTGGCAAAAACATTTAATGTCGCCACACAAACATTGGTTTTTGCGCCACAAACACTGCCATCTTTGCAAAAGAAAACACAACAATCAATGTCTGTATGCACATATTAGTAGTCTTTCACAGACATAAAGTGTTTGGCACAGACAAAGAATGTACAAACACAAACATTTCTCATGTGCCACATACAATTAATGCTTGTGCACAGACAAACAATATTAGTTTAATTTTACTGACATTTACTAATTTTCCAGTTTTATTTGTTCACACAGACAAACCATATTAGTATTTTGAATGATACAACAATTGTTTAAGATCATACAGATAAGAATTCTGGTGACTTTACATCTCCCACTTGTTTTCCGGCGACTTTTACTTATAAACTTTAAGTTTTATTACGTCATACAAACAAACTTTATCATTATTTAAGAAGTCGCGGATGATTTTATATACGATACAGACAAAAATTCTGGTAGTTGCTCATCTCCGCTTTGATTTTCCAGCGACTCTCTATCTCGACGGATCTTAAAAAATGAAAGATGGAGTGGGAACGATAGAAAGTGATGAAGATTAAAATGATTAAATGATAAAGATGGAAGATGGTGATGGAGATGAATAATGACTCAAGATGATGAAGATGTTAGATGGAGGTTGGGTGAAGATGAAAGTGATGAACATGGAAGCAAAAATAAAGAAGATGACTAAGTAGGG